AAAAAAAAAAAAAGAAATTAGCCAGGCATGGTGGCATGCACCTGCAGTCCCAGCTACTCAGGAGGCTGAAATAAGAGATCAATTGAGCCCATGAGTTTGAGGCTGCAGTGAGCTTTGATCACACAGCTGCACTCCAGCCTGGGTGAAAGAGTGAGACCCCATTTCTTAGAGAGAGAAAAGCAATATGGATGGGCTTGGAAGGGGAGAGAGAGAGAGAGAGGGGATAAATGTAGGTGTTATCTTCAGTAGTATCCAGGTGTTCATCTCTCCTCTTCTTACATACTTTCTTCTTCCTCCTCTCCCCCGATCTCACATACATACATTTCTTTTGAATGCGCTTTATTCCCAGGTGGGACTGGTACAGTATGGGGAGAGCCCTGTACATGAGTGGTCCCTGGGAGATTTTCGAACGAAGGAAGAAGTGGTGAGAGCAGCAAAGAACCTCAGTCGGCGGGAGGGACGAGAAACAAAGACTGCCCAAGCAATAATGGTGGCCTGGTGAGGCACTGGGAAGAGAGGTGTGGGAGGCAAGAGCAATGAAGCCTTAGAAGAGTTAGGGCAGGGCTGGGTGCGGTGGCTCCCGCCTGTAATCCCAGCACTTTGGGAGGCCGAGGCGGGCAGATCACCTGAGGTCGGGAGTTTGAGACCAGCCTGACCAACATGGAGAAACCCCATCTCTACTAAAAATACAAAATTAGCCAGGCATGGTGGCACATGTCTGTAATCCCAGCTACTCAGGAGGCTGAGGCAGGAGACTCTCTTGAACCCGGGAGGTGGAGGTTGCGGTGAGCCGAGATCATGCCATTGCACTCCAGCCTGGGCAATAAAAGCAAAACTCCATCTCAAAAATAAAATAAAATAAATTAAGAAATAAAATAAAACTTTCCCTTTAAAAAAAAGAAAAAGAAAAAAAAGAAGGAGAAGTTAGGGCAGGTTTGGAGTGCAGTGTGTATATCCCAAGATGTCTTGCATACTTTCTTTGTATGTACACTAATGGTACACAGAGGAAGGCTAAGTGGGCTGTCACTGCACTCCCTCTCACTACATTTCTACAAAGTGTCTATGTCTGTGTCTTTCCATATTTCACAGACAGAAGTATCTTTCTATCCCTCCACTCCAACAGTGATCCTGGCCCACAGGTTCTCCACTACTAATGTCCTAGCCCACGTTCCAAACATGATCCAAAACTCATCTCTAGGGGCACAGTGGTAAAATTGAAACAAAACAAAACAACTCATCTCTGGGAGGAGTCCCTGCCCAGACCATTCTCTTCTGTTCTATATTTCCTTAATATTTGTCCTCCCAAGTACAATATTTGTTGAATGAATCTGAGTGTATGAATGTTGTACTTATTTAGATCGATAAGCTACTCTGTATGTTCTATGACATTCAAACATTTGAGCTCTCATTCCATGCCATCTCCATGTTAAATACTCAAGAAATGGCCTAAAAGGCAAGATGCCTGACCTCAGTGAAGTGCTGATGTTAAATCCTGTGTGTGTGTGTGTGTGTGTGTCTGCACACATCTGATCACACCTCACTCCTTTCTCTTCTCAGCACAGAAGGGTTCAGTCAGTCCCATGGGGGCCGACCCGAGGCTGCCAGGCTACTGGTGGTTGTCACTGATGGAGAGTCCCATGATGGAGAGGAGCTTCCTGCAGCACTAAAGACCTGTGAGGCTGGAAGAGTGACACGCTATGGGATTGCAGTGAGAATTCACCCTGGATCTGGAAGAGTTGGGGGGTGGCAGGGGGGCAGTGTCTTGTGAACTGTCCAAGTACTGGGAACTTGAGGAAAACAAGGGCATTAACTACTTCCCAGACTTCAGCCACATCATGTTAGTTGGCTGTGTTCTGTGCCAACTCTAACACCTCATTCCTTGATCTTATGACCTCTTAGGTCCTTGGTCACTACCTCCGGCGGCAGCGAGATCCCAGCTCTTTCCTGAGAGAAATTAGAACTATTGCCAGTGATCCAGATGAGCGATTCTTCTTCAATGTCACAGATGAGGCTGCTCTGACTGACATTGTGGATGCACTAGGAGATCGGATTTTTGGCCTCGAAGGTGAGGATTACTCTGGAGAAATGGACAGGGTGGGAGAAGTTCTGGAGTGTGGGTGGGGCTCTGGAGTGAGTTCAGTAGGTCAAAGGGGAAACTGTCTTCCCCTGATATTGTCTCAATATTTTCTCACGACTAAGGTTCCCATGCAGAAAATGAAAGCTCCTTTGGGCTGGAAATGTCTCAGATTGGTTTCTCCACTCATCGGCTAAAGGTTGGACAGATTGACCCCTTCATGACTTCTCCCATTCTCTGACTCAGATAACTTCAACCACAGGGCCCTCCAGATTCCTCCTTTAACCAGCCTCCATGCTGACCTTCCCATGCCTTTCCAACTGAGCCCAGCAGACCCTCAGTGATCTTTTCACTCCTGGACTGTTTTTTTCCCTTTATTCCCCACTGTCTTCTCAGTGACTCCAACTGCTTCTGTCCCACAGGATGGGATTCTCTTTGGGATGGTGGGGGCCTATGACTGGGGGGGCTCTGTGCTATGGCTTGAAGGAGGTCACCACCTTTTCCCCCCACGAATGGCTCTGGAAGACGAGTTCCCCTCTGCATTGCAGAACCATGCAGCCTACCTGGGTGAGTAGCAGAGTTGCAGAGGGCTTGCAGGGTAGGGGAGGAAATACATCCCTAGTTGCGGGGTATGAAATACTCCCTCTTAACTCATGAGGTTTCTCACTGACCTCTTACTACTTCCCTTGGGACCTCCTGCTGTGCCTTTAGGGAACCCCCTACTCTGGACCCCATCTTCTTTTCCTTTACCTCTGTTACTTTGCTCACTTCTAGGTTACTCTGTTTCTTCCATGCTTTTGCGGGGTGGACGCCGCCTGTTTCTCTCTGGGGCTCCTCGATTTAGACATCGAGGAAAAGTCATCGCCTTCCAGCTTAAGAAAGATGGGGCTGTGAGGGTTGCCCAGAGCCTCCAGGGGGAGCAGGTAGGGCATCCAAGGAAGAGTGGGACCTTTGGATTCCCAGGGACCTCCGGGCTGTTGGGGAGGAGTGTGAAGTGGGTAAGAGAGAGGCCTGCAAAGTCTGTGCGGAATTCTGGTTGGCAGAGTCTGTCAGGGATGTAAGGAGCAGACTGGCAGGCTGGTGAGTGTTTCCCACTGAGTCCACTTGTCTACAGTCACCTTCCCTTTTCTCTGGGGTCATCATCACCCACCATTCCCCAGATTGGTTCATACTTTGGCAGTGAGCTCTGCCCATTGGATACAGATAGGGATGGAACAACTGATGTCTTACTTGTGGCTGCCCCCATGTTCCTGGGACCCCAGAACAAGGAAACAGGACGTGTTTATGTGTATCTGGTGGGCCAGGTGAGACTTGCTGGGACCCCCTGCCCTGGACTTGCGTTGTGGGGGTGGGGGAGGAAAGGAGGGAGGGTGTACATATTTGAGGGTTTGCTGAGAGGTTGGGGCTGCTGGATTAGCATCTTCTATCTTCTCTCCTCCACCAGCAGTCCTTGCTGACCCTCCAAGGAACACTTCAGCCAGAACCCCCCCAGGATGCTCGATTTGGCTTTGCCATGGGTGCTCTTCCTGATCTGAACCAAGATGGTTTTGCTGATGTGGCTGTGGGGGCACCTCTGGAGGATGGGCACCAGGGAGCACTGTACCTGTACCATGGAACCCAGAGTGGAGTCAGGCCCCATCCTGCCCAGGTCAGGAGTACCCAAATAAAGCAGGGGCATGGTTGTAGGAAGAGGAGTAGGGGGATGCTCTTTGCTTGTCAATAGTCCCCTTGGCTTGAGACCCAAACTGAACAAGTGCTTTTATTAGTAGGCAAAAACTTAAGGCAGTGGGGTAGAATACAGGTTGCTGAACTAAGAACTCCTGAACACAGGCAAGTTTCTCTTATTCCCAGGACTGATGGGAGGATTATAAAGAGCAAGGCATGGCTGGGCGCGGTGGCTCACGTCTGTAATCCCAGCACTTTGGGAGGCCGAGGCAGGCGGATCACCTGAGGTCGGGAGTTGGAGACCAGCCTGGCCAACATGATGAAACTCTACTAAAAATACAAAAAGTTAGCTGGGCCTGGTGGCGCACGCCTGTAATCCCAGCTACTTGGAAGGCTGGGGCAGGAGAATTGCTTGAACCTGGGAGGCGGAGGTTACAGTGAGCCAAGATCACACCATTGCACTCCAGCCTGGGCAACAAGAGTGAAACTCCATCTCAAAAATAAAAAATAAAAATAAATAAATAAATAAATAAAATAAATAAAGTAAAAATAAAGAAAGAGCAAGGCAGGAGGCCTGAGAAACTAGGTGTATGGGTCCCTGCCTTAGTCTCCTCTCTCTTCCTCTCAGAGGATTGCTGCTGCCTCCATGCCACATGCCCTCAGCTACTTTGGCCGAAGTGTGGATGGCCGGCTAGATCTGGATGGAGATGATCTGGTCGATGTGGCTGTGGGTGCCCAGGGGGCGGCCATCCTGCTCAGGTGAGGGGTCCCAGCTCAGGTAGCAGTGGACAGCATAGCATAGCTGTTAAAGGCAAGGGCCTTAAAGTCACAGACTGAGATTTGGGTTTCTTGGTCAACTTACTCTGTGCCTCCATTCCTAGTTTAAAAAAATGACAATAGTAATAGTACCTACCTTATAGGTTTATTGTGAGGGTTAAATGAGATAATCCATATAATGATTTTAACACAGTGCCTAGCATATAAGTGCCTATTGACGTGAATCTAGGGCCGGGTACAGTGGCTCACACCTGTAATCCTAGCACTTTGGGAGGCCAAGGTAAGAGGATCATTTGAGGCCAGGAGTTCAAGACCAGCCTGGCCAACATGGTGAAACCCTGTCTCTACTAAAAATACAAAAAATTATCTGAGCATGGTGGTGGGCGCCAGTAATCCCAGCTACTCGGGAGGCTGAGGCAGGAGAATCACTTGAACCCAGGAGGCAGAGGTTGCAGTGAGCTGAGATCGCCCCACTGCACTCCAGCCTGGGCCACAGAGTGAGCTCCATCTCAAAAAAAAAAAAAAAAAGATCAATGACATGAATCTATTATCTTACTTCTGTCAGAGGGCTCCCGGGGAGGGTGACATATGCATTCAGCCCCTCCTTCTTTGTTTTAACCATGGAGTAGCAAACACTGGGCTTGCGCTTCTCAAGGGCTTACCTCCTACTGATAGAATTTCTTTTCCACACTGTTCCCAGCTCCCGGCCCATTGTCCATCTGGCCCCGTCACTGGAGGTGACCCCACAGGCCATCAGTGTGGTTCAGAGGGACTGTAGGCGGCGAGGCCAGGAGGCAGTCTGTCTGACTGCAGCCCTCTGCTTCCAAGTGACCTCCCGTACTCCTGGTCGCTGGGATCGCCGATTCTGTGAGTGACTAAAGCGCATCACAGGCAACTCTCAATTCCTTGCCTGCCTTCCTCACTAGACCCCTTTCCACCCTCACTCTTGCCTCCTTCATTCAGACATGAGGTTCACAGCATCACTGGATGAATGGACGGCTGGGGCACGTGCAGCATTTGATGGCTCTGGCCAGAGGCTGTCCCCTCGGAGGCTCCGGCTCAGTGTGGGGAATATCACTTGTGAGCAGCTACACTTCCATGTGCTGGTAAGGAGAGGGCAGGAACTGAGAATGAGGAGAAGTCTGGGTCAGAGGAGGAATTTCAGCTGGATCAGCAAGAAAGCCAAAGCCGGGAGAACGAGATGATTCAGACTTTGGAGTCAGGGCTGATCTGGGTTTGAATCCTAGCTGTGCCATTTACCACCTATGAATTCTGGCAAGTCCAACCCTCAGTTTTCTTGTCTGCAAAGGGGTGATAATAATAATAACTATATCATAGGAGTTGTATTAAAATTAAATTTAGTAATACAGTTAAGATCTTAGGACAGTGCCCAACACACAGAAAATACTTCATAAATGATCACTACAATTATCACATGATCCTTGACTCTGTGACTCTGTTTTCCTTCAGGATACGTCAGATTACCTCCGGCCTGTGGCCTTTACTGTGACCTTTGCCTTGGACAATACCACAAAGCCAGGGCCTGTGCTGGATGAGGGCTCACCCACCTCTATACAAAAGCTGGTCAGCAGTGCCATGCCCTGCCCCTTGCCCCCAACACTGCCCTCTTTCTTTTTTTTTTTTTTTTTTGAGACGGAGTCTCACTCTGTCGCCCAGGCTGGAGTGCAGTGGCGCGATCTCGGCTCACTGCAAGCTCCGCCTCCCGGGTTCACGCCATTCTCCTGCCTCAGCCTCCCGAGTAGCTGGGACTACAGGCGCCCACAACCGCGCCCGGCTAATTTTTTGTATTTTTAGTAGAGACGGGGTTTCACCGTGGTCTCGATCTCCTGACCTTGTGATCCGCCCGCCTCGGCCTCCCAAAGTGCTGGGATTACAGGCGTGAGCCACCGCGCCCGGCTGCCCTCTTTCAAGAGAAAAGGGAGGGAGAAGACATGAGATCATGGTGAAATCTGACCTGGGATCCTCGAATAAAAATATGCCCACTTTTGTCTTTTCACTTTTCCCCTATTCTATTCCTTTCCTCCTTGCTTCCCTCTCAACCCTTAGGCCCTTCCCTTTCTTCCAGGTCCCCTTCTCAAAGGATTGTGGCCCTGACAATGAATGTGTCACAGACCTGGTGCTTCAAGTGAATATGGACATCAGAGGCTCCAGGTTGGATGGACATGTACTGGGCAAACCAGGGTGACCTGAGACAGACTGGAAGGGACTCGAAGGGAGCTGGGGGTAGGGGGTTGTTTCTTACCCATGATAACAAAAGTGAGACTTTTGGCACTCCCCTCCTTCAACTCCTGGTCTCTCCCTCATTCATCATTCCCAGGAAGGCCCCATTTGTGGTTCGAGGTGGCCGGCGGAAAGCGCTGGTATCTGCAACTCTGGAAAACAGGAAGGAAAATGCTTACAATACTAGCCTGAGTCTCATCTTCTCTAGAAACCTCCACCTGGCCAGTCTCACTCCTCAGGTGCCCTTGGAGGAGGGGGTGTGGGAGAAGGAAAGAAAGGAGGAGGAAGAAGGTTGGGGTACTGGCCTCAGCTGTGAGGTGTTCTAGAGAATGGCTCAGTGTTTAGAGGCTGTGGGTAGGACAGCAGTTGCAGCCCCAGCTCCAGCTTCCATCTCCATTCCCCTGCCCTCAGAGAGACAGCCCAATAAAGGTGGAATGTGCAGCCCCTTCTACTCATGCCAGGCTCTGCATTGTGGGGCATCCTGTCTTCCAGACTGGAGCCAAGGTGAGTTGGGGTCTAGGATGAAAAGGAGGCTCTAGGAGGGCAGAGGCTGGGATCTGAGGGTCCTGGGACTTCAGGGAAGGAGGCACACAAGGGCTCCTGTTCCTCTGTAGTTGTTCCATGAGAAAGACTCTACCATTACCCCGTGTCCCCTGCCCCTAGGTGACCTTTCTGCTTGAGTTCGAGTTTAGCTGCTCCTCTCTCCTGAGCCAAGTCTTCGTGAAGCTGACTGCCAGCAGGTGAGAATGAGGGAACTTTCTTCTAGACCTCTCCTCCTACTGAGTCTTGACTGGAGGGGTGGGGAGGAACAACACTGATTCCTCTATTAGCAGAGAAGGGCGTCTTCTGAGGAGGGGTTGAGATGTGAGCCTCTCCCCTCTGACCCTACAGTGACAGCCTGGAGAGAGATGGAACCCTTCAAGATAACACAGCCCAGACCTCAGCCCATATCCAATATGAGCCCCATCTCCTCTTCTCTAGGTAGGCCCAGCTTCTAGGTGGGACCCAGTTCTCACTTCACACTCACACCCTTATGCTGCTTCCCTCCCTTTCCATGTGCCTCAGTGTTTCCCAAAACCCAAGCCCTTGCGGCTGCTCAGTCTTTTTGCCCTTAATCCTATTCATGCTGAACCTTCCCTTTTAAGCATCTTACTTTCCTAGGTATAAGGTTTTGCCAGGCCTTGGGCACTGGAGCTGGGATGAGGGGATGTGGGATGTAGCCACAAAGCTTGCATTGTCTGTGTCATGTTCTACTTCTGTCTTCTGCATGTACCCCCATCTCTTTATCCATGTGCTGGCCCTGCCTCCTCTGAATCCATGTCTGTGTGCTGATCATGTGCCCCTGTGTCTGTGTCATGGCTGTGACCATGTACTTCCTGACTTGGTGTTCACACAGTGAGTCTACCCTGCACCGCTATGAGGTTCACCCATATGGGACCCTCCCAGTGGGTCCTGGCCCAGAATTCAAAACCACTCTTAGGGTGAGAAGCTGGAGGGGTCTTGGCATGAAGGGGAGGTGGGAGAACAGCAGCTTTGTGGGAAAAGGATTGGAAGGGTCTCTCTTGGATTTTAATGGTATCTAGGGTGAAGGGGAACAGATGAGGAAGGGCCTTCCATCTCCCACTTCTTACTATTCCCAACCTTCCTCTTAGGTTCAGAACCTAGGCTGCTATGTGGTCAGTGGCCTCATCATCTCAGCCCTCCTTCCAGCTGTAGCCCATGGGGGCAATTACTTCCTATCACTGTCTCAAGTCATCACTAACAATGTGAGTCTGGTCTAGGAGGGCATGGAGTCCTGCCCCCTTGAGCTGGTGGACTCACTGAAGCTGGACACCAGACCAGCTCCCTATCTGTTGGGCTGCTACTCTTGGGGCTCCTCTCTCTGGGGGGGGGGCTTTCTTTTCACACATGTGGCTTATTTGGGAGAATAAAAAGGGATTATAAGGGGAAGAACTGCAAGGTGTGGGTATGTTCCAGCTCAGCCTTTAGTGGCTAGCCCCACCCCATCAGGAGGGTCTTTCAAGTTGGATCTTCCCCTAGGCAAGCTGCACAGTGCAGAATCTGACTGAACCCCCAGCACCCCCTGTGCATCCAGAGGAGCTTCAACACACAAACAGACTGGTATGAGTCACAAGGGGGTGTCGGAGTGGGAATGCAAGTGGAGTTGGGTGCCCTGGACAAGGGGGTAGGAACTGGAGCGGAGAGGAAGGGATCTTTCCACCCCAGGGTCTGATCTGGAGTGGGAATGAAAATGGAGTCAGGTGCCTTGGGACAAGACTGTGTGAACTAGAGGTGGGGAAAGAGGATCTTTCCACCACAGAGTCCTGATCTGTCTGTCTGTCTCTCTTCTGTTAGAATGGGAGCAATACTCAGTGTCAGGTGGTGAGGTGCCACCTTGGGCAGCTGGCAAAGGGGACCGAGGTCTCTGTTGGACTATTGAGGCTGGTTCACAATGAATTTTTCCGAAGAGTAAGCCTTTCCTTTTCTACTACTCCCCTCTTTTGCTCCTTTCTGGAACTTTAGCATAGGTTTTGGAGGTAGACAGACCCATGTTCAAGTTTCACTTTTGCCTCTTACTAGCTATTTGACCACGAGCAAGTTATTTCATCTCCCTAAGCCTCTTTTTCCTAATCTCTAAAAGGGGAAGATAATACCAATTTCATGGGGTTGTTATAAAGAATAAATGAATAATGAGCTGGACATATGGTGAACACAAGTTATTATCCTTGTATTTTCCTCCACTGACCATTCCTTAGTGCTGTATCAATCAACATTTACAGGATACCTACATTTAATCAGTTAATAATCCATCAAGTGCCTATTACGTAAAAGGCCCTGTATTAGGCTGACACTGAGGAGAATATCTCCAATATTTAGCCCCCATGCCTAACTCATTGTAGGTGCTTAATATATTTTTGCTAAATGAATGAATAATTGATATTACATGCAGGATTTGCATTGGGGAGCAGTGGGAAGTAAGATTGTATAGGCGAGAGGGATCTAGATTATGAAAGGCCTTTGAATCCAGGGAGAAATTGAACTTAATATGACAGGTAGTGAGGAGTCAGTGTGAGTTCCTCCTGGGCAGGGGAATGGCATCTTAATTGTAATGGCATTTGGCACTAAGGTTGATGTGCTTTCCCATATCTACCTGGAATAACACAAGATCCCTGGGATGTCATCATATGTTTTAGGGAAGTTCAGTCCAATAAACCATCCTTCTCCAAGTCTCTTTGTCCTTCTTTGGTATCTTTTTTTCATTAATCTATTCATGCTTTCAACAAAGATTTATTAAGAAACCACTACATGGCTGGGCGCGGTGGCTCACGCCTGTAATCCCTGCACTTTGGGAGGCCGAGGCAGGCGGATCACGAGGTCAGGAGATCAAGACCATCCTGGCTAACACAGTGAAACCCTGTCTCTACTAAAAATACAAAAAATTAGCTGGGTGTGGTGGCGGGCGCCTGTAGTCCCAGCTCCTTGGGAGGCTGAGGCTGAGGCAGAAGAATGGCGTGAACCCGGGAGGCGGAGCTTGCAGTGAGCAGAGATCGCGCCACTGCACTCCAGCCTGGGTGACAGAGAGAGACTCCATCTCAAAAAAAAAAAAAAAAAGAAACTGCTACATACTTGGCACTGTGCTATCTACTAGGCACCAAGGACACAAAAGTTATTAAGGCACAGCCTTTAACCTGGAGGATCTTATAGTTCAGGAGTGAAAGACAGAAGTAAACACCAGGGTTGGTGGGGGTTAGGAAGAATGATTTCCCTAAATCCCAGAGAGGATGACTTCTAAACTTCAATCTAAAGGAGGGGTAGAGGTCAGCCAAAGGAAAGAGAAGTAGAATGCATTTCAGGTAAAGTACCAGATGTACTGACTGTCCTTGGAAAACAAACAGCAGCAGCAGATGTGACCAGGGGTTTTCCATCTATTATCCTTCCTCTCTTTTCCCATTGGTCTTCAGCCTTTTCTTCTAGTCTTGAGAGCCCTTGAGGTTATGTCTCTCGGCCTCAACTTTGCTATTGGGATTCTAAACAACTACATCACCTGGTGATGGCTCATTTTAAATGTCTTCCTATCCACTTGTTCCACAGGCCAAGTTCAAGTCCCTGATGGTGGTCAGCACCTTTGAGCTGGGAACCGAGGAGGGCAGTGTCCTACAGCTGACTGAAGCCTCCCGTTGGAGTGAGGTGGGGCCGGAGACCGAGTTTGAGAGCTGTGAAAATAATGATGATGGGTATAGGATAGGGCCACCTGTGGGCTTTTCCAGAACAAAGGCATCTCCATCAGGTAGCAGGATCCTAGTGTTCCACTGCCGCCATTCCTGCCTCCGTTTCTTTCTTTTAAGTAGAAGGAGGTTATTCTATTTAGGGGCTGGCTTTGGTATAGTGTGAGATGAGACTAGTTGGGTTACAGAATGCATGTAGAAAACTACTCTTCTCTCCATACAGAGCCTTCTGGAGGTGGTTCAGACCCGGCCTATCCTCATCTCCCTGTGGATCCTCATAGGCAGTGTCCTGGGAGGGTTGCTCCTGCTTGCTCTCCTTGTCTTCTGCCTGTGGAAGGTAAGCACTGCTTTAGTGGGGAGTGTGGAGCATGCTGCCCATGAGTTGAAGAATTCTTGATTATAGCAGAGAGAACATGATTTGTGCTGGGCAGCTAAGCAGGCTGTGGATGTCATGCCCAGGTCTCCTTCACTGTACCCCACAAATGTTGGTTAAATTCTCCTAAGCCAAATAAAATAAATTTGAATTCCATTTTTGGAAACAGAACAAAAGTGAAGATCTCAGATAAGTCTGAGAGCTACTGGCAGGGTTCCCAGTCCAGGCATTTGGCGATGACGCTTATCTTTTCCTCTACAGCTTGGCTTCTTTACCCATAAGAAAATCCCTGAGGAAGAAAAAAGAGAAGAGAAGTTGGAACAATGAATGTAGAATAAGGGTCTAGAAAGTCCTCCCTGGCAGCTTCTTCAAGACACTTGCATAAAAGCGGAGGTTTGGGGGCTCAGATGGGACAAGCAGCCGCCTCTGGACTATCTCCCCAGACCAGCAGCCTGACTTGACTTTTGAGTCCTAGGGATGCTGTTGGCTAGAGAAGAGGCTTTACCTCAGACAAGAAGAGCTGGCACCAAAACTAGCCATGCTCCCACCCTCTGCTTCCCTCCTCTTCATGATCCTGGTTCCATAGCCAACACTGGGGCCTTTGTTTGGGGTCCTTTTATCCCCAGGAACCAATCATTTTTTTGCCTAGGTGCCTGACTCCTTTCAGATTCCCTCTTAATCTTCCCTCACAGTTTGGAAAGGATAAGAGTTATCTTCCTCGATTCTTCCACCCTCTCACCTTCCTGCCTGTTCCCCACTCCACAGGAGGGAGCTGATGTTGGCTTGAAAGGAGTAAAGTCAACATCTGCTGCTTTCCTGTGGACTCTGGTGATTCATAGAGCCAGATGGGGAGAGTCAACAGGAAAAAAGGAGGGAGGAGGAAAAGCCACAAGAGACATTCTGTACAATTCCAAGGAACAGAGAAGCCTTAGACAGGCAACTGCCATCCCCCCTGAAACCTGAGACCTGTGGTGCACTCGCCCGCCCTCAGGTGTTGGTGAAACAGAGCTGCCCCCAGGCTCGCTGGGCATAGGCTTCCTGATTCCAAGCCTTTTCTGGGAGCAAAGCCAGGGCCTGGTGCCTGATTTTCTGTAGCCAGGAGCCCTCAGGTGGCTGGAGCTGGAAAAGCAGGGAGGACTGGGTGTACCTAGGCAATGTTTTCTCTACTTCTTTCAAGTCTTATACTCACTCTTGAGCCCTCCTTAGGGCCTGCTTAGAAAGCAGACAGGAGAGAGTGTCCTGCTGCTTGGTGATGGGAAATGCTTTCACTTTACCGGCTTTGGGAAGCAGCAGCCCCATGGGATCTAACGTGAGGGGTCTGCATTAAGAAGCCTTCGAGGGTGGCATGGGACTGTGGGGAGCAAGCCCTTACTTGCTCAGCACTGGTTATGTAGCACAAATAGCTCCTAGGAAAATGTTTCTGGGGCAACCCTATAGAACCTTGGTCATATTTTGCAGGGTTTCTCTGGTGGAATCAGTTTGCCAGCCCTTGCTTGATGTTTAGCGGAAATCTCCAGGTTAATTTCTATCTCTGACCCCTCCCCAACCCACTCCATATTTGGGTCATGGCCAGTAAAGGCAGTTGGAGTCTCATAGACAACTGGGTAACTTATATTTCTTTGTAATCAAGACTTGAGATATCGAAGTCAGTTATTGATCTCCAGAGTGCAGCTCTGAGAGCCTTTTGAAGAATCAGCACTCATTTAGAGCTGAGAAGAGAGAAGACCTGATTGGGTGGTTGACTAGCAATCACAGAACCTGTCCTCCCAGGCTGTTCCTGAGGCCTGACCACAGTGTTTATTTTGGCATGTCTCTGGCCTTCTGCAGAGGCCCACCCTCATGGGCATTGTCTCTGTTTCCCAGCAGGGTGGACAGTATATCAGATGGTCAGAACAAATAAAGTTCAGTGTCAAATGACCTTTGGCTCTATATGTGTTCCCTAGGATATAGACTGCTCAGTAATAGTGAGAGGTAGATACTTGTTTTGCCTGGGACTTTACAGAATGGAGTCCCTGGAAGGCAAAGTTAAGAAGTATTTTAAATGTTTTCTGTGGCTCTCCCACAGGAGATGTATTCTAGCCTTCTGTAATTCTCACCTGCTTAAGTGACCAGAAAGTATAAAGGTCTGGGAAGCACAGAGGCTTGGATTGAAATCCTGTCTGCCATTTATTAACTATATGGCCTTCAGCAAGTCATAACTTCCCTGAGGCTCAGATAATAATAAGAGGCTGTGTATTACAGTGGTGAACAATGAGGGCAGATTTGGGTTTAAATCTAGGCTATACAACTTAAAAATTCCGTTTCACCTAGGACAGACTTAACTTCTCTAAATCTTGGCTTTCTCATCTTTAAACCTGTTAGGGTCATGAAGACAAAATGAAATAATCCAAGAAAAGTGAGCATTTAGTAAATGCTCAGTAAATGGTAACTATGATTATAAAACTATTTTGTCGTAAAATAATCTACCGTATCATGCCTTGTGAGGATTAAGGGAGAAAGTATACTGGAGCACCAGGTGGTGGCGTTCCTGCTCTCTGACCCATCTCCCAGATCGTGAAGGTGTGTTTCTTCTATGTGCTATTGTCTCATCCACTAAATCTTATCCTATGCCTCATCACCTTTTTTTTTTTTTTTTGAGATGGAGTCTCGCTCTGTCGCCCAGGCTGGAGTACAGTGGCGTGATCTCAGCTCACTGCAACCTCCGCCTCCTGGGTTCAAGTGATTCTCCTGCCTCAGGCCTCCTGAGTAGCTGGGACTACAGGTGTGCACCACCATGCCCAGCTAATTTTTGGAGACAGGGTTTCACCATGTTGACCAGGCTGGTTTTGAACTCCTGACCTCACGTGATCTGCCTGCCTCAGCCTCCCAAAGTGCTAGGATTACAGGCGTGAGCCACTGTGCCTGGCCTGCCTCATCCTTTTTGAAATAAGCTCTTTGAGCTCTTTAAGGTGATAATTAGCTGGAGAATTTAAGGTTCTAATGGTAGGGATCAAATCTATTTGATTCTATTAAGCAGGTATCTTCTAGGCTCCTCTTGAAACACCCAGAGTTTTTCCAGTACCCTGAGGGAACACGTGCACTTAAGCAATGGCCTTCTAGAGACCCAGTCTCTGCCTCTGTTGCCTAACCCTGAGAATGTGGCCTGTCTGGCCTATTTGGCATGAACACCATTCTCTGTCAACCTGCTGAGTTGTTTTGTGACAGGAAAGGGTTTCCATCGTGACCCTCAGTGCACTTCATACAGGCTGTAACTTTATCAGCCTTTATGGAGCACAGAGTTTCTAGGGCTGAGACTGCAACCGTGTTATGTGACAGACTCTCCTCTCCTCTTTACCCTCAGTCAGCCCCCAAATGGAGGTGGTTTCCTTGAGGACTGGTTCATCTAATTCTTACACATATATGCATATATATGTGTATATTTAAAACTTTTTTAGAGAGGGGGTCTCACTATGTTGCCTAGGCTGGTCTCCAACTCCTGGCCTCAAGCAATCCTCCTGTCTTGGCCTATCCACATACTGGGATTATAGGTGTGAGCCACTGTGCCTGACCTCATGTAATTCTTTATCCATATGATTAAGAGAGCACTTTTAATGTATTTTTCCACCTAGAGATACCCCTCCTATCCATCCTCAGCACCAGACTGGGACTTTCTCTAACCCCAATCTTTTTTTTTTTTTTTTGAGACGGAGTCTCACGCTGTTGCCAGGCTGGAGTGCAGTGCCGCGATCTCGCTCACTGCAGCTCCGCCTCCCGGTTCCCGCCATTCTCCTGCCTCAGCCTCCTGAGTAGCTGGACTACAGGCGCCCGCCACCACGCCCGGCTAATTTTTGTATTTTAGTAGAGACGGGTTCACTGTGGTCTCGATCTCCTGACCTTGTGATCCGCCCGCCTCGGCCTCCCAAAGTGCTGGATTACAGGCTTGAGCCACCGCGCCCGGCCTCTAACCCCAATCTTGTTATCCCTTTATTTGCAATAGTATTAGTCCTTTGCTTCTTCATTAATTTTTTCATTCATTTATTCATCAGATATCAAGCTCATAATATGTGCTTGGCAATGGCAATAATATAAAACACAACTACCATCAAAGAGTCCAATCTAGTAGCAGAAACAAACATGTAAACAAATAGTGGCAAATACAGGCTGGACGCAGTGGCTCACGCCTGTGATCCCAGCACTTTGGGAGGTCGTGGCAGTCGGATCACTTGAGTTCAGGAGTTCGAGACCATCTTGGACAACACAGTGAAACCCCGTCCTTAACAAAAATACAAAAACAATTAGCTGGGCACGGTGGCACGCACCTGTAGTCCCATCTACTTGGGAGGCTGAGGTGGGAGGATGGCGTGAGCCCAGGAAGTGGAGGTTACAGTGAGCCGAGATCACCCCACCACACTCCAGCCTGGGTGACAGAGTAAGACACCATCTCAAAAACAAAAGCAAAAAAAAAAAAAAAAAAAAAGGCAAATGCAAAGAGGTGGTTGCTATATATCAACAAGTACTAGGAGTATGTCATATAAGAGGCACACTTTCTTGGGCAGTGGGGGTGGCAGGGTTGTAAGGGAAAACTTTATAGAAAAAAGAAATTTGGCCTGGGGGTTGTTCTGTGCAGGAAACACGCAAAGGGAGAAGAAAAGACACACACACAATACCTTTAAGGGTAAACAAGCTTTATCCACGTAAATGGCAATGCAGATATAATAAGCAAATGGCATAAGCAAATTAATAAGCAAATTGATATAATAAGCAAATTATATAATAAGCAAATGATATAATAAACAGATTGATATAATAGGCAAATTGCAATGGGAAGGGGAGAAGGGAAAAGATATTTACACTCACCAGACTATGGAGGATTCACCACCAGACTGAGAAGCAACAGCCTGGGCTCCAGAGTCGGCCACTGGTCCATGCACAGACGAGGAGAGGTCTCATGAAGTTTTGGCGCAGTCTGGGACCCTACCTCTTTTTGTAACGAGTTGTTTGGCATGAGGCCCAGTCACGAGGCCCTTGGCAACTGGGCTCAAGAAACACAAAACGTTCAACTTATTTTTTTTGTTGTTGTTGTTGAGACAGAGTCTCGCTTTGTCACCCAGGCTGGAGTGCAGTGGCCGGATCTCAGCTCACTGCAGCTCCGCCTCCCGGTTTGCGCCATTCTCCTGCCTCAGCCTCCGAGTAGCTGGGACTACAGGCGCCCGCACCTCGCCCGGCTAGTTGTATTAGAGACGGGTTTCACTGTATTAGCCAGGATGGTCTCGATTTCCTAACCTCGTGATCCGCCCGTCTCGGCCTCCCAAAGTGCTGGGATTACAGGCTTGAGCCACCGCGCCTGGCCACGTTCAACTTATTTTTGTAATTGTCTATTGTTTTTCAATAACTAACGTATAGGAATAGATTGAAATAGAGATTTCTCCAAAACAGTGCTGGATGAACACCTCAAAAGGGCTCACACAACCTGTTCTGGGACTCGGTGACCATTGTTTCTGTCCACGTTCAATTGAGTTCAAATTTAATATTTAACTTTTCCACCACAGGGATCAAATGTGACAGGATGCATTCTTGGGAGGATTAATCACCAGCTTCAAAGGGAATTATAAATTAGAACAGTTTGAGGCCTGGCGCTCTGGGAGTTGAGGCGAGGAGAATTGCTTGAGCCCGGGAGTTCAAAACCCATCTGGGCAACATGGTGAAACCCTGTCTCTACCAAATATATGAAAATTAGCTGGGCATGGTGACGTGCACCTGTAGTCCCAGCTACTCAGAAGGCTGAAGTGGGAGGATCTCTTGAGCCTAAGAAGTCAAGGCTGCTGCAGTGAACCGTGATCATGCTATCACACTCCAGCCTGGGTGACAGCGAGACCCTGCCTCAAAACACATAAAACAAGGCCAGGCATAGTGGCTCACGCCTGTAATCCCAGTACTTTGGGAGGCCAAGGCAGGTGGATCACTTAAGGTCAGGAGTTTGAGACCAGTCTGGCCAACATGGCAAAACCCTGTCTCTACTAAAAACACAAAACTTAACCGGGCGTGATGGCACGTGCCTGTAATCCCAGCTACTTGGGAGGCTGAGGCAGGAGAATTGCTTGGACCAGGAAAGCAGAGGCTGCAGTGAGTGAGCCGAGATCGTGCCACTGCACTTCAGTCCGGTGGGAGGGTGAGGCTCTGTCTCAAAAAATTAAAAAAAAAAAAAAAAAGAAACAGCTTGAGTGGCTCTTTTGTGTGAAAGTAATGAGAGATGGGACTGGAAAAGAGGGCAGCAGCATATGACTCCTGAAGAGCCTTGTAAACCGCGTAAGAACTTTGGGCTTTACCCTGTAAGTTTTCATATGCATTTTAGTGAGCTCTCTCCGGCGGGGAGAGGAGAAAAGAGAGGCAGGAAGACGGATGGGCGGAGACTGATTTCAAGAATTACCAAGAGCCTGAACTTCAAGGGCAGTGGAAATAATGAAGACAGTTTTTTGTTTGGTTATTTTCTGTTTCTATGCTGAGGCGGGGGCGGGGCGGGGGGCGGTTTAAAATAAAAGTGCTCTCCTCGCTCTCTGCTCTTTTCCAATTCAGTATTGCGTTTAAAAATTGAGCCTGGGCCAGGGACAGTGGCGGCTCATGCCTATAATCCCAGCGCTTTGGGAGGCTACAGTGAGGAGAATCGCTTGAGGCCTGGAGTTGAAGACCAGACTGGATAACATAGCGACACTCCATCTCTTTAAAAAAAAAAAAAAAAAAAAAAGCCAGGCGTGGTGGCGCAAGTCTGTAGTCTCAGCTACTAGGGAGGCTGGAGTGAGAGGATCCCTTAAGCCCACGAGTTGGAGGTTATGGTGAGCTATGCTGGCACCATGCACTCCGGCCTGGCCGACAGAGCGACACAGTGAGACTCTGTCTCAGAAAAAAAGAAACAAAAAATAAAATTGAACCTGATCCCCTTTCCTTAGGTTTTGTCCCCCAGGTTACCGCGGGCCGCGCATTATCCGTGATCTGCTTAGCACTACAATCTCCTATTTCCGAATTGCTCTCTTCAAATGCTCTTTTTTGCTTGGGTTTTTGGCAGCGGAATGGGGCGGGGTGGGGCGGGGGGAGTTGGAGGGGGCAGAGGTAACTTCGCCAGTGATTAAATGCAAATACGACAGTCCGTGAGACCGAAGCCCACGGTAGAAGCTGGGACCCTCCTGCCTCTAGCTACAGCTCTCCAAGGGGCAGGGCTGAGGCGGGGCTTGGGGCGGAGGCCCCGTCTGGAACTGCGGGTGGGCGGGGGCCGGGCCCGGGAGAAGTCTCAGCCGTAGCCCACCCGGTTCCTTTCCTGATTGAGCAGGTCGGATCGCAGGGCGGGTTCAGATTTGAAGGGCGAGGTTTGAGGCCAAGCCCCGGTCGCAGCCTAAGACTGCGGGGCTTTTCGCCTCTGCAGGGGCGGGGTAGGTCAGGGCCAGGGGCGGAGTTTTGAGCCCAGCCCTTGGGTTCTTGCCTCTGATTGGGCAGGGCGGGTTCTGAGGCGTATCTTGGGGCGGGGCCCGCTCTGCTTTTTGACAGCTGTCTCTTGCACAGCCGCTGCCAAGTCCGGTGGGTTCGGGAACCTGTGGCCCGGCTCTCTGCGCGTCCCCGTCCCCCGTGGCCTCGACCCCGGCCATGAAGCGTATCTTCTCCTGCTCCAGCTCACAGGTGGCGGTAGGTGCCAAAATGTGTGGGAGGATGGGGCTGGGGTCCCCGCTCTGTGGTGACAGAAGTCGTTAGTCCCATCTCAATGCAGCTTCTGACTTGCCTTTCTCACCTCTGCCCTCCCCAGGGTCCTTTCCCCTGGCCCCTTTCTTGTCCTCCTAGCATCTACACCCCAGATTTCTGGTACGTTTTCTGCAGCTCTGTCCCCTTCCCATGGCGCTGGCCCTACTTCTGCTCCATCTCCCAGTACCAAACCTCCCCCAAGCATCTTCCCCGGCCCCTGCCTGGCCCCAAGCTCCATTCTACGCCACCAAGTTATGTCCCAGAGCCCCATATTTCATCCCTGTCCTGTCCCCACAATCTTGCCTTCCCACGTAGCTCTGTCCTTGCTGTTTACTGTTAGTTCAACAAGCACTCCCAGCCCTGTGCCTTCTGTTAACCCTTTTTCACAATCTCCTCTGTCATTGCTTCCCTCCTGCCCCATGCCACTTTCATTCCCATCTCTCACCAGCACTGCTGTTCCTTAGACATCACTCCAAACCTTTTTCCAATTGATGCTCCCACAAGAGCAACCTTCTGTTCTCCCCTACAACCTCTGCCCTACTCTGCCCAATGGTCGCAGGTCCCACTTTTCCTCCTGCCTGCTTGCTGTGAGTTAATATTGCAGTCTGGTCAGCCTCACAGGCACTGCCAGAGGATGCACAGTTGCCTGACTGCTCCCCAAGGGACTGGATGAGTTGCCTGCAGAATCCACCCAAGCCAGTTCACTGCAGTATCTGATCATTAGACTGGTTCTTGGGCCAGTCAAGGCTCAAGGCCTTTCTTTCTGCTTTTGCCCAGATTATTCATTTCCTGAACCCTTGCCCAGTTGTTTAGGAATGATGCTCTCTGTTTCCTTTGGTTGAGTTGGAGGAAAGTGATGATGAGAGAAGAGGATAGAGCAGACTCAGAGTTCCCAGTAGAAGTCACTCTATTCCCCATGTTCTCCCAGAAAAAAAAACCCGTAAAATTATAGAAGATGGTGGCTTAGGGAGGATATTGCTGCTTCTTCTCTAAAGATCTCTTACAGAGAGCCCCCTTATCTAGAAGTGGAATTTTCTGTAGAGGTTGGGGTTATGGCTAATTTAGAAGCAAATTAGCCAGCTACTTGTAGCAATATTGCTTTGCTAACTTGACTTAGTGGTATCGTTCATAAGCAAATATGAGAAACGTTCAATTAGCTCATTCTGCATGGGCAGGTTACAGAGTCCTGGAAGCAAGCTATGAGGCAAGAGTATGAATTCTGTTGAGGCCTGTCCTTGTCCCACTTACATTTGCATCTCTACTTAGTTTCCACACATTGATCAACCAGTCAAAAGGTATTTACTATTCTACACCCCAGAAACTGAGGCTGCCCAGACTCAGTCTTAACTCATAAAGACTTTTTAGAAATTCATATGGCCTCTTCCTTAGTTACTGAAAGTATTCAATGTTGCCTTTCCCTTACAGGTTTGTGCAGTCTGCCTGCTCCTTAGGAATGGGGAAACTATTTCATTCTTTCTGATCCCCCAAACCTTGGGCAGTACCTCCTTTCCAAGGTGCTGGAGTGAGTGGACTGGCTTTTGGAATTTGGAACCATCCCTCTGTCCTCCTTGACTCCAGCTGTACAGAGGTTTGACCATAAAGAATGATCACCCATTCTAAACTTTTAGTATAATAAGATCTTACTATAATGAGATTATGGGAAGTAAGTTGGATGGGTTTAGAATTATCTAGCTGGAAAGAAAACTGTTTCTTCAGATAGAATGGAGTCATAGAAAGCTTGTAAATCGGCCAGTTTCAGCTGTAAATTTCTTCCTCATGAAATTTCCCCATACTTTCATGAGAAATTCCTCCACTGTTTTGGACGGCAAACTACTCTGGAACCATTTGTCAGAGAAGTAGTGTGGCAGTCTTTCTGGCCACTCCAAAAGCCTGGCTTCCCAGTCACACTGGAAGACTGCCTCTACCCATCTCCACTCACACACTTAGGTCCAGGGCCAGAGCTCTGCACCCTCAGTCTGAGGAAGGACTGAAAAAGCAGTGATCATTTTAAAGCAAATCTAAGTTATCCAGTATATAGGAAAATCCACAAACAAAAACCCAACTCCTATAATCCCATTTTATTTTAGTCAAGTAGAGGATATCCTTGAGGGTATCTTACATACAAGCTTACTCTGCCTAGGTAGACCAGAAGTAGACTAGAAGAGAGCTTTAAATAATTGGCACTGGATTGTCTGGGCGCAGTGGCTCAAGCCTGTAATCCCAGCACTTTGGGAGGCTGAGGTGGGTGTAATCACCTGAGGTCAGGAGTTTGGGACCAGCCTGGCCAACATGGCAAAACCCTGTCTCTACTAAAAATACAAAAATTAGCTGGGTGTGGTGGCAGGC